TGCTGAACCTTAACTATACTTCAGATCTTAACAGCAAGAAATGAAACTTCCAGCAAGTCAAAGACGCTTGAGCAGAATTCTGCAGCTGTCATTATACATCACAACCCAATCTTTTAAAATTATATGTATATACATATATCCACAAGAAGCTAATTCAATAATACACTGTTCTGTTTCTTCAGGACATTTATATGTTTACTAAGGAGTTTGTTTTTATGGAATCTAACATAATCATCATAGGCTGTTTCCTGAGTAGAAATATGTAAGTCTAGAAAACCATAGTTTTATACAAATGGTCCAGAGTTAGATCAGCTCTACTTGAGCTATCTCAAAATTTATGTTGCAGTTCAAACGAAAGCTCCTAGGCAGCCTTAAACAACTGAGAATTTGTAAGGAAGTGAAGAAAAGCAACTTAGAAAAGGCAGCTACTTAGAAATTTCTATTCTGACAGATTGTTCTGCATTCTGTATCATTTTATTAAGATAACCTAAGATTTACAAGCAGTACTATTTTCTAAAACTAGAAAACAGAAGTCAGGGAAAGGTCCTTATAATAGTACTCTAGCAACCATGGAAAGTACAAGATTAAGAAAACGTAAGGCAGATACGAGTTACATTTCTACCAGAAAGTTTTCCAATACAATATTATAAAGTAACAAGTTTTCCACATAGTTTTCAATGCATTACTAGGTCAATCTTCTTAATATTAAATATGAAGTAAAAGTTTAATGTTTTCAAATAATTTAATTTTTTCCTAACAAGCACAAATCCTCAGTATCGATAAAAACAAAGATGTTTAACTGAATTCAGCAATAACTTCAAACTCCCTTTAATGATTCCACTAATTACTATAGCTTATTTAACAAACTTCTTGATAAATTTGTTTACAATGCAGATTAAAATTTTGTTTCCATCGTAAAATGTATTTCCTATTGAACTAGATGAGACATAAACTAATCAATGTCTATGGCTCAGAAATATCTTAAAGAAATCTATTAATGGAATACCTAAAATTTTTATTAGCAGAGCTGGTCACAGACTCAAGTTAACTAAAATTCCCATGAGACAAAGCACAATAAAGATAACACTTACTTTTTAATTTCTTCTTCTACTATATTAACTCCATCTTTCTGAGGATTAAGAAATTTATTTGTGGCACTGCCAAAGTCACAAAGTACATAGTTTCCACCATCATTCAACAAAATATTTTCCACCTTCAGAAAAGAAAAGCAATTAATATATTTTCAAGTTGAAAATTACATTTTTATAACAATGTTTTTATACAGTTAAACACTGATATATAATACATATATATAGAGAGAGAGAGAGACAGACAGACAGACAGAGACAGAGACAGAGAGAGACAGAGAGAGAGAGGGAGAGAGAGGATACCTCAAATTGTGAGAAAGGACAAATGATTCAGAACAAAAATATACTTTATCTACTGCTTCTCTCACTAAGAACAGAGAAGTGCTTCTCCCATCCCAGGATGATTTTTGCAAGGGCCAAGGAACCCTAAGTCCTCTCAAAAACTGCTTCTATGGAACAGAAGAACTAGTAGCAGTCAGAGTCTATACTATACCTCCATTTTTCTCCTTTTCTGGCACTTAGCTTACCTATAGAAAGGTAACAAAAAACATTACAATTCTACCTCTGATTGACTCCTAATTCCATTTTTATCTAAAATACTACACTGAAAAACACAGATTTGACTTTATGCCTTAACTTAGATATCAGAGTTGTAGTAACTTAAATAAAATTATGCACACAGTTTCTAAAACAGGAGAATGTGGGTTCACAGCCCAGCTCTGCTACTTATTAGCATATGTACCCTTGGACAACTTGCTTAACCACTCTTGTGCTTTAGTCTCCTTATCTATAAAATGGGGAAAATAATAATATCTATTACAGGGGACTGTTGTAAAAACTGAAAGAATTAAAACATGTAAAGGGCTTAGAATAGTGACTGAAATAAGGTAAGCACACAATAAATAATACTATTACTAACATTTTTACACAATATTTTTTATTTTTATGATACACTTTTAAATGAGTAATTCAATTTCTCTCCACTCTACCAAAATACTCACATTACAGTTTCTTTGCAATTTTTCTTCTATATTTCATTTTACTCTACTTTTAAAAATATTCAATATTTGCACAAAATATTTATATAAGAAATCTACTTAAAAAAAGAAACTTACTTAAAACAAACACAGGATTGCATAAATTTACACATGTAAAAAGAACTAAGTATATGAAATATGGTCTATATAAAATTATGCAGTTCAATGTCTTTTTTGTTTTAAAATCAAGAAGACTCAGCTGAAAACATCAACTTGACATTTAAAAAGTTAATGAGCTATAACAGTGCAAAAACATCAGACCAAATTATTGGGGAAAATGTAAAAGCTGCATATTCAAGAGAACTGAAATGAACTATACTGGTTATCAAAATTAAGGGACAGAGGTCTGTAGTCAAGTATTTCAATCTTGCCTTGACTTGTATCCTTTCAGCACAGGTTTCCCTAGATGATGCTTTCGTGGTTAACAACCTATATTCTAAGTGACATTTTCTATTCTCTTGTATCTTAAGAGCATTTTATTATCACTTTTCATAAATTTTGTATAATAAGTCAGAATTGGGATTCATTCATTCATTAAATATTTACTGAGACCCTACTATGTGCCAGGCACTGTTCTAAATGCTTGGATACATCAGTACGAAAGAGAAAAATCCCTGCCCACAGGAAGCTTACAGTGTAGTGGGAGAGGACAGAAAATAACCAACAGACATAATACATAAGTAAATTTTATAGTATCTGAGAAAGTGACAAGTGATAATAAAAGGCAGAACAAGTAGAGTATGGAAAGGTTAGGTTGTAATTATAAATAAGGTGGTGCAAGGACAGGACTCACTGAGAAAGTGAATCTGAGCAGATTCAAAGTGGGGGAAAGATTAGCCATGGGATATCTGGGCATAAAGCATTTCAGGAAGAGGAATTTTTGTAATCTTAGTGTTTGTAGGTATCAAAGAGGACACCTATGCTTCTAAACAATATGTGTAATGATAGCTCAAGCAATATGATACCAGGAATGTTCAATCCCCTTTGGGTACTTTTTCCAATTTAACAAGTGGGTACCATATACAAGAGGTCAGATTCCATGAAAATGTAAGACAAAGTGACCTCAGAGTGACAATCATCACCAAATTATAGTAAATTATCTAAAACTACAGTAAATTATAAATAAATGAGTAAAGAGACCCATTTACGGTCACCTCCAATATCTCTGGAAAACACCCTGATGCTTAAAATGAATTATAAGAAATAGGAGGAGTGCTGAACTGGGAAGAATAGTGTGGAGGGATATCCAACCTGTGTCAGTGATGTTCATATTTTTGTTCACATGAAACCTTTTAAAGAAGCCTGCTCTGTAAAACACAAGCAAAGTAGGGAGCACAAAATCCACCTCTACAGTCGTGCTAGCAACCCTCAGGGTCATGAAAAGCACAATTTCAATTCTATAGTCAGTCTTTATATGGCCTCAGGAAATGTAGCTGGGGACAGAGAGGCCAATCTCAGTGCTAGTAATAAAAACTGGTTTATATGAAGACAGTCCAAGAACATTTTTAACTCCAAAGTTTAAAAGGCATTAATCCATAAGTAGACTAAAGTTCATACCTTCAGATCCCGGTGAATTATTGGAGTCTTACACTGATGCAACCTTGCAACAGCTTCACAGGTATCACAGAATATCTGTAACACTTCTGGTTCTGTAAAACCTGTCTGCAGCTTCTTATTCATCTGATTCACTACCTGCCCAGCTAACCAAAAAAGTAATTTTGAGAAGACATATTTTTAATAAATGAAGACTACCACAAACAAAGAGATTAAGAAATGTCTATGGTCTCAGGTAATGGGGAATTGGCTTTTTTTATAATTTTCATGTAAGGATGCTTATTATCGCATATTGTGTTGATTCAATGACATACAGTTTTTTTCACATTTTACATCTCTGAAGTGAGAACATCTTAAAATAAGTGACGTTCTGCTAATGCTATTGGCCATATTTTAACATCTCCAAATTCAGAGTGTACCTTGTAACTGATGGCATCACAGATTTGAAGAAACGGTTATTCAACACTGTGCTAGTTTTAGGGGTAAACAGTGGTGAACAAAGATAAAGTCTCTATTATCATGGAATTTATAGTCTAAAGGCACAGATAAACACTAAACAATCACACAAGTATTTATCATAATTACGTACAATAAGGATAATATGAGAAAAACCCAAATTTAAATTAGTGAAGGAGGATGGGGAGAAGAGAATGCCAGAGAAGGCCTAAGGAAGTGATTATTTATGTTGAGACTGAAGGTTAATCAGGAATTAACCTGGCAGAGATCTGGGAGAACACACTAGTGATAGCAAGTGACATATACAAAGGCCTCTAGCTTGGGAAAGAGCTTAACGATTTTGAGTAACTTAAAGAGAACCACTGTGGGTATGGTCTAGAAAGCAGAGAAGAGAGTAAAGACAGATGATACTGACAAGACAAACAAATCAAGATTTTATCTTGAGATTTTTATCTTGAGAACCAAGGAAACTTCCTGATCTGAACTTTTAGAAGATCTACTTGATTGGGGGATGCAGAAATCACAAGAGTGGAAAAAGAGAGATGGGTTAAGGGGCTATGGCTCTAAACCAGGTTAAGAGATAGTGGGCAGAGTACCTTACTAAAATCAAATAGCCACAACAATGAGCCACGAGAGGATTATTAAATATTACAATGTACTACAATAACTGATAATCTAATAATGACAATTCTTAATTACTAAGAGAAAGTTTACTATTATTATATTTTAACAATGCAAGTAAATACATGATTCATTCACAGCATTCTAACAGAAATCAAGTTTGGAAATTTAAAAAGGCAAGCTTATGTTAATGAAACTTTCCTGTAACAAGTTTGAATAAATGAATGTCTGCTACTGTGTAATCTATAAGAAGGTGCATACACACCTGTTCCTTCTATTATTACTGTCTAAACAGCATTCTCATATATTTTCTGAAATAGGTGTTTTTTCTTAGAACTTTAAAGCAGGGGGGAAAAAATTTTATTTTGCCTATCAATCCTCAACTTTCAGAAAACTCAGGTCCATTTGGTTGTAATTTGTTCAAAGTGTCTCATATAAGATTGAGGCACCTGACTAGGCAGCAATTTCCTCTATCCTCTTGTTTGTCAGATGCCCTGACTCATGTTATCCAAAAATTAAACAGTAAGAAAAGTGCTTTATTGGTGTTCATTCACATTCTTAAAATATCTTTTCACAGATAAGAAATCATAACCTTGAACTCATTCTATCTTTTCCACACTTTCAATGTTGTAATGAGTAGAATAAATTTTAAAAAGTCAATCTTCTTTCTTCCCTTCAGAGATCTTTGGGCTAGAAGGCTTGAATCACAAAATCCAGTCCCCCCAAAAAGGTAAAAAGCTCTATTTGAGCTGTATTTCAAATGCAGAAACAAACAAAATTTCATTATTCAAAATCAAAGTCTTCTGAAAATTAAAGTAAAATTATCCTAATGAAAAAATTTTAAATCAGATTCAGAAAGGAAACAATGTATACTGAAGGTCTTTTAAGATAAGGTGCATGTAACTCCCAAATCTTTACATATTTTTCACAGTTATCTCCTAAACAAGAATTTTTATACTCTCCCCGATTTCATTATTAAAATTTAAAAAGTCAACATTTTTCTAGCCTCAACAATCTTCATCTCTCTGAGATTACACTTATACTTAATTTAAAATGCTATACCGGGCTTCCCTGGTGGCGCAGTGGTTGAGAGTCCGCCTGTCGATGCAGGGGACATGGGTTCGTGCCCCGATCCAGAAGGATCCCGCATGCCGTAGAGCGGCTGGGCCCGTAAGCCAGGGCCACTGAGCCTGTGCTTCCGGAGCCTGTGCTCCGCAACAGGAGAGGCCACGGCGGTGAGAGGCCCGCGTACCACAAAAAAAAAAAAAAAAGGCTATACCATCCCATTTAAATTTTGATATGACTTTTTTTAACAAGATACTTAATTTTATCTGCAGTAGACTGAACCATTGGCTCCCAAATACTCACTTGCCTAAAAACTGAAGCTCATGTAGTTCCCCTTTTAAGATGTCTTCTGGATGACAATTAATCTCATTCAGGGTTATGATTATGCTCAACTCAATTATTTTTAAAAAGTTACAAGTAGCCAAGGGCTATTAGTCAACTCTCATCCAGCTAAGAATAGGCACCTTAAATGCTAGAATTCAGGAAAGTAGGGTAAAGAAAATCAATGTCGTCTCCTTAAAGAGATCACAATGCTTTACAGTAGAGAAGATGAGATATAAATAAGGAAAAACAATCAAGAAAATATCTAATTTTTTACGTTATATATGGAAATAAGTTACAAACATATCACAATAGATATTATAATATTGATTCATTTCATTTTCCTCTGTCCTTCCCCCTTCTTACAAGACTGGAGTAAATGAGACCACATTTTCTCCATTATCATCACCAACCTCCTTCTCCTCCAACCTTCAGGAAGTGACAAGAGTTCCTGGTACCATAATTAACAATCATAACTGTCTTAAGAGAATTTATATATAAACCAGGGCTTCCTAGAATCCAAACTGTCAGATACAGTCTGATGAGGGAGGGGGGAAAGCAAGTTCGCAGGAAATGGATTAATTGCCCCCATTACACCCATTAAAGTAAAAAAAAAAAAAATTTTTCAGGGACTAAAAATTATTATTATAATTCTTAAGGCATACTATACAAGTAAAATATTTCTTTGAAAACACCACATTATATCCAAATAAAATGTGGTTTTCTATCTTCTGATGTTTTCAAAAGACCACATAATATAAGTTTATAAAAATTATAGATCAAAATGCATCCTTGAAATTTATTACATTTAATATGTTCAAAGATAACATGGTAGCGTGCTGAAAAAAAATCTTGCAACACTAATATGGACACAGTATGCTCTTCTTGGTTGGATTATAAAAGAAATGTATACGGATCAGGAAAGGTGATTGTTCTTTACGTTTTAGATTTTCTGTTTAAAACCCAACAGCATTTTTCTAATTGTCAATTAACATATGCTCATATCATCATTGCATCAACTATGAGTAGGTTTTAAATACTTTTTAACAGCATTCCTTATTTAGACAAATAATTAAAGCTGAGATTGCAATGAATGCCCAGAATTAGATGACAGCTGCCCTGGGAGAAACCAAGACACCTACTAACCCATTTTTATGGGCAAATTTTTTTAGCATAAAACAATCGCAGAAAAATACTTACCTCGACAATATTCCATTAAGATAAGCACTTCCCATACATTATCACTAACTGAATTAACAGTACAGTCCAAATAACCCACAATATTTTTGTGACCAGACAGCTCTTTCTGTAAAAAAATAAACAAAATTTTAAAAACTGGCAAACAAACATATATTTTAAAGGTCTATCATTAACAATGATTTGAAGTCTAAATTGATATATTTAAAGAATTTCAAAAAGTAAGATTTAGGTGTAAGTATGGAATCCGACACATTTCAAAAAGGTTTCTACAGTTTCAGTGGAAAGTTTATTTATATGTGACTGTCATTTCCTAACAAGCAAATACTTAATGAATATTTATTTTAAATTCAATGGGGAAGAAAGAGATGGTTCTTTCAAAAGTAACAGTTTCCAGGGCTTCCCTGGTGGCACAGTTAACAACCTGCCTGCCAATGCGGGGTACATGGGTTCAAGCCCTGGTCCAAGAAGATCCCACACACCACAGAGCAACAAAGCCCATGCGCCACAACTACTGAGCCTGATCTCTAGAGCCCGCGAGCCACAACTACTGAGCCCAAGTGCCATAGCTACTGAAGCCCACGTGCCTAGAGCCCGTGCTCCACAACAAGAGAAGCAGCCACAATGAGAAGCCTGCGCACTGCAAAGAAGAGTAGCCCCCACTCTCCGCAACTAGAGAAAAGCCCTCACACAGTAACAAAGACCCAACACAGCCAAAAATAAATAAACTAAATAAAAAAAAGAAGTTTCCAAAAGTGAGTGTACAAGATAGTCCTTTGGGACTCAAGAATAAAATATCAGAACTTTTACTTATTTTTATCTTAAAAAGATAAAGAAATTAAGCTCTAATATTTATGAACAATTACACTCGTGTTTGTTTGTTTTGTCTGCAACATATTGCAATTTATGTCCACCTAGTCAAGTGAATTTATGAATGTATGTACTTTTAACTAAATAACCTAAAAAAATAAACAAGTAGCTAAAAAGGATTTTTGTAAAGAAACCATAAAGATAACACTAATATTACAAGTACAAGAAAATAAGAAGAAAATGGCAAATCTGACACTTTTGCTCCTAGTACAAGACAATCATTAACATTTATAAGGTTGACAATCATCAACATTTATAAGGTTAAAAATCATAATGATCTAAATAAGGTCTGTCTGTAAATTAAAAACTCTTATCAAGAATACTGTTTAAAATAATTTGCATCCACTATCATTAAAATAAACCTAGTTTTAAGTGTGTAATATAATTTGAAATATTAGCTAACAGCAGCTGAACATGTGAATAATTCATAAATAAACATAAATAGTGAAGGATTAGTCATCAAAAAACAGTTTGAAGAAAATTGCTCACCTCCCCAAAATATCTTATTTAAAAGCATAGGATCTGAGTTTTGCTGAGGTTGACGCTATATTTTATATATCTCAAAATTATACAAAATCTATTGAAAGGAAGAATTACAGTACAATACCATATCTGGGCTTAAGTTAGAAAACTTAGTCTAAGATTCCCTATTATCTCAGAGTAAATCCTTTCACCTTTTTGACTAATAGCCTTACTTGAAAAAAAGCAAGTCTCAAAGCCTAATCAACTCTAGTCTAGCTAAGGAATAGGGACAATAAAAGCAGAATTCTGATAAGTCATACTGTATAAATGTGCCTATCTTCAAACAAAAAGGATCAAAATATGTGTGTTGATAATGATGTTGATACAAAATAAGAAAATCTCCCTCTTAGCAGTTGGGGAGGCTTGACAGTAACAAGTGTTTTCAAGGAAGTGGATAAACTAGAACCCTCCTGACACTGCTGGTGTGAACAGAAAATGGTTCAACTGCTGTGGAATTAATGGTTCCTTAAAAAGTTAAATGTGGAATTACCATATGACCCAGCAATTCCACTCTTAGATACATACCCAAAAGAACTGAAAATAAACAATACATATGTACACATATTCATAGCAACACTACTCACAACAGCCAAAAGGTAGAAATAGCCCAAATGTCTATCCATGTTTTTTTTAAAAAATCCATCAATAGATGAACACATAAACAAATCCTGATACATATATAGTATATATAATGGAATATTATTCACTCATAAAAAGGAATGAAGTGCTGATAAGTGCTACAATGTGGAGAAACCTTAAAAATATGGTAAGTGAAAGAAGGTCATATACTGCTTGATCCCATGTATATGAAATATCCAGAATAGGTAAATCTATCGAGACATAACATAGACGGGTGGTTGCCAGAGCCTGGAACAAGAGTGGAATGGGGAACAACTGCTTCATGGGCAGGGGTTTCCTTTTGGAGTGATGAAAAGGTTTTAAAACAAGGTAGAGGCAGTCTGTGCACAATACTGTGAATGTACTAAAAAACACTGAATTGTTCATTTTAAAATGTGAATTATAAAATGTGTAGTATGTGAATTTCACCTAAATAAAACAAAAATGTTAAATATATATATTAGCACTTGATAAACAGTGGATGAGGAGGAGGGAGAGAAAGAGAATAAAAGAAGAGAGGAAGACAGGAGGAGGAGGAGAAAGAGGGGAGAACAAGAATAAGAAACCATCCAGAGCACTGACAATAAGCAACTCTAGAAAAAAAGGAAATTTTTATTCTGAAATTTTCTCGAAATGTTTAATCTAGTTAACTGAGTAACTGAAATTTTCTTTAATGGTGTATTAAAATATTTTTCACTTTTCCTAAAATTAAAGAAGAATTTTTTCCTTGCTGAAGCATACCTTACCAATACTACAGAGTTCACATACACACACAAATCAACTTTACAGCATGATTTTAAAAATGAAAAGCAAAACTAACTGTGGTCTGTGAATACTAACACATATAAGTGAATGTATTAAATACCCAGGGGAAGGCGTAAGCACCAAATTCAGGATAGGGGTTTCCTTTTGGATGAGGATAACAGTATAAGGATAACATTACAGAGGAATACACAGAAGGCTTCAACTGTACCTGTAAGCCTTTAATTCTTAAGTTGGGTAGGGGGTAAACTGGTGTTCACTAATTTTCTAAATTCTTCTATTCTCAAAATATTCCATAATTTAAATTTATTTTAAAAACAAAAAAAGAAAGCAGAGAAACTTGCCTGTTGAACTACAATAGGGAAGGGAGGAAAGGTAGGAGTTGTTTGTATTTAGCCCTAAGTATGGCTATAAAGAGTACACTTCAAAGGTTATCTAGATGTGCCCAAGCCAATAAGCAGCTTGCCTACAGGCTGCTTAATGTTATGTGAAAAACTGAAAGAAAATACACCAAATTTTTCAAAGGGAATTACTCTTTCTCTTACCATAATTGTAATTTCCCTTTTACAAATGTTGAGGTCTGTCGCGTTATTGACATACATTCGCTTCAATGCATAGCGGAGTCCACCATGAGTCCGCACCAGGAAAACTGTGGAGAATCCACCTAGAAGAACAAGAATCTATTAAATAAGAAGAATTTGAAGCTCCTGCCAAAATCATGTAACAGCACTGAGGAGCTTAATCTCACAGGGAAATAAACTGATTGTACACAAGACAAAAATAAGAACAGTAAACAACTAACACATTGTACTAAGTTAACAGCCCAATCATTGGCTTCCTATGCCAATCATGAAGTAATACATACAGGATAATATGCTTCTCAAGTTAAAATATATAAATATCATTTGAATGGGAATATTTCTTATATAGGACGTGGAAAATGTTACAACTTAACTATATCACTATAGTTTGGCAAATACTAGTGATTGCCTACCCATCAGCCTCTCCGTCTTAGTGATGACAAAACACTGATGTGATTTAATATGAGACATCAAGGGGGTCATATGGGTGGGTCCCTCTTAAAGTTCCAGGGGATCAACCAACACTGTTCTAAGGCAATAATGGGAATCTCGTTTCCTCTTGTCAGCAACTGATTTAGGATTGAATATGTAACCAATTTTGGCTATATGGGACATAAGAAAAAGTATGCTGAGGGTTGCAGGAAAGATTTTCCAACCAGAAAAAAACAAAACAAAACAAAAAAAAAGATTCATATGACGAGGCTCTGCTCTTCCTTCCAGCTTTTGGATTTTGTTGTATAAGAATATACTCTTTAGACCTATGGCAACCATATGTGGTCATGATGGAAAAAAGAATCAGAGAGAAAATGACCCAAAACACTGAATTACTTTGGCAACTGAATTACACAAGCCTTCCAGACCTCTCATGTGAGATTATAAATGTCCTCATTATTCATGCCACAGTCTGTTAACTGTACCCCAGAAAGCATCATATATGAAACAAATAGCCAGGTATTCTAAAGGACAATTACTTCTGTCACATACAAACAAAGATTTCCACCTCAAGCTTTTAAAACTCATTTTGGCATAGGATATTTTGTAGCTTAATTATAATTTTAAAACAAAAAAAAATTACCGATACCCTCATTCACCAGAGGGAAGACAGCAGAAGCAAGAAAAACAGAAGCAGGAAAAACTACAGAAGCAAGAAGACAGCAAAGGCAAGAAGAACTACAATCCTGCAGTCTGTGGAACAAAAACCACCATCACAAAGAGGTAGACAAGATGAAAAAGCAGAGGGCTATGTACCAGATGAAGGAACAAGATAAAACCCCAGAAAAACAACTAAATGAAGTGGAGATAGGCAACTTTCCAGGAAAAGAATTCAGAATAATGATAGTGAAGATGATGCAGGACCTCAGAAAAAGGATGGAGGCAGAAGTCAAGAAGATGGCAAGAAATGTTTCAAAAAGATCTAGAAGAATTAAAGAACAAACAAACAGAGATGAACAATACAATAATTGAAATGAAAAATACACTAGAAGAAATCAATAGCAGAATAACTGAGGCAGAAGAACGGATAAGTGACCTGGAGACAGAATGTGGCATTCACTGCTGCAGAACAGAATAAAGACAAAAGAATGAAAAGAAATGAAGACAGTAGAAGAGACCTCTGGGACAACATTAAACGCAACAACATTCGCATTACAGGGGCCCCAGAAGGAGAAGAGAGAGAGAAAAGAACCGAGAAAATATTTGAAGACATTATACTTGAAAACTTCCCTAACATGGGAAAGGAAACAGCCACCCAAGTCCAGGAAGCACAGAGAGTCCCATACAGGATAAACCCAAGGAGAAACACACCAAGACACATAGTAAACAAACTGGCAAAAATTAAAGACAAGGAAAAATTAATGAAAGAAGCAAGGGAAAAATGACAAATAACATACAAGAGAACTCCCATAAGGTTAACAGCTGATTTCTCAGCAGAAACTCTACAAGCCAGAAGGGAGTGGCATGATATACTTAAAGTGATGAAAGGGAAGAACCTACAACCAAGATTACTCTACCCAGCAAGGACCTAATTCAGATTCAATGGAGACATCAAAAGTTTTACAGACAAGCAAAAGCTAAGAGAATTCAGCACCAACAAACGAGCTCTACAACAAATGCTAAAGGAACTTCTCTAAGTGGGAGACACAAGAGAAGAAAAGGACCTACAAAAACAACCCCAAAACAATTAAGAAAATGGTAATAAGAACATACATATCGATAATTATCTCAAACGTGAATGGATTAAATGCTCCAACCAAAAGACACAGGCTTGTTGAATGGATACAAAAACAAGACCCATATATATGCTGTCTACAAGAGACCCACTTCAGACCTAGGGACACATACAGACTGAAGGTGAGGGGATGGAAAAAGATATTCCACGCAAATGGAAATCAAAAGAAAGCTGGAGGAGCAATTCTCATATCAGACAAAAAAGACTTTAAAATAAAGACTATTATAAGAAACAAAGAAGGACACTACATAATGATCAAGGGATCAATCCAAGAAGAAGATATAACAATTGTAAATATTTATGCACCCAACATAGGAACAACTCAATACACAAGGCACCTGCTAACAGCTATAAAAGAGGAAATTGACAGTAACACAATAATAGAGGGGGACTTTAACACCTCACTTACACCAATGGACAGATCATCCAAACAGAAAATTAATAAGGAAACACAAGCTTTAAATGACACAACAGACCAAACAGATTTGATATTTATAGGACATTCCATCCAAAAACAGCAGATTACACTTTCTTCTCAAGTGTGCATAGAATATTCTCTAGGATAGATCACATCTTGGGTCACAGATCAAGCCTCCGTAAATTTAAGAAAATTAAAATCATATCAAGCGGGCTTCCCTGGTGGCGCAGTGGTTGAGAGTCCGCCTGCCGATGAAGGGGACGCGGGTTCGTGCCCCGGTCCGGGAGGATCCCACATGGCGCAGAGCGGCTGGGCCCGTGAGCCATGGCCACGGAGCCTGCGCGTCCGGAGCCTGTGCTCCGCAACGACAATGGAGATACAACGACCCAAAACCTATGGGATGCAGCAAAAGCAGTTCTAAGAGGGAAGTTTATAGCAATACAAGCCCACCTTAAGAAGCAGGAAACATCTCACTGGGCCTGTGAGCCATGGTCACTGAGCCTGCACGTTCGGAGCCTGTGCTCCGCAACAGGACAGGCCACAACAATAAGAGGCCTGTGTACCGCAAAAAAAAAAAAAAGAAATCAATTACAGGGAAAAGAACGTAAAAAACACAAACACAAGGAGGCTAAACAATATGTTACTAAACAACCATAAGATCACTGAAGAAATCAAAGAGGAAACCAAAAATACCTAGAGACAAATGACAATGAAATCACAATGATCCAAAACCTATGGGATTCAGCAAAATCAGTTCTAAGAGGGAAGTTTAAACCTATAGAAGCTTACCTCAAGAAACAAGAAAGGGCTTCCCTGGTGGCACAGTGGTTGAGAGTCCACCTGCCGATGCAAGGGACACAGGTTTGTGCCCCGGTCTGGGAAGATCCCACATGCCGCGGAGCGGCTAGGCCCGTGAGCCATGGCCGCTGAGCCTGCGCGTCCAGAGTCTGTGCTCCACAATGGGAGAGGCCACAACAGCGAGAGGCCCACGTACCACAAAAAAAAAGAAACAAGAAAAATCTCAAATAATCTAAAATTACACCTAAAGGAACTAGAGAAAGAAGAACAAACAACACACAAAGTCAGCAGAAGGAAAGAAATCATAAAGTTTAGAGCAGAAATAAATGAAATAGAAACAAAAAAAACCAATTGCTAAGTTCAATAAAACTAAAAGCTGGTTCTTTGAGAAGATAAACAAAATTGGTAAACCATTAGCCAGACTCATCAAGAAAAAGAGGGAGAGGACTCAAATCAATTAAATTAGAAATGAAAAAGGAGAAGTTACAACAGACACTGCAGAAATACAAAGCATCCTAAAAGACTACAACAAGCAACTCTATGCCAATAAAATGGAAAACCTGGAAAAAATGGACAAATTCTTAGAAAGGTATAACCTCCCAAGACTGAATCAGGAAGAAATAGAAAATATGAACAGACCAATCACATGTAATGAAATGGAAACTGTGATTAAAAATCTTCCAATAGGGCTTCCCTGGTGGCGCAGTGGTTGAGAATCTGCCTGCTAATGCAGGGGACACGGGTTCGAGCCCTGGTCTGGGAAGATCCCACATGCCGCGGAGCAACTGGGCCTGTGAGCCACAACTACTGAACCTGCGCGTCTGGAGCCTGTGCTCCGCAACAAGAGAGCCCGCGATAGCGAGAGGCCCGCGCACGGTGATGAAGAGTGGCCCCCGCTTGCCACAACTAGAGAAAGCCCTCGCACAGAAACGAAGACCCAACACAGCCAAATAAATAAATAAATGTGGGGTTTAAAAATAATAATAATAATAATAATTTAAAAGTTAATCAATACAATCATAAACAGCATGTAAGTCAAATAATAAAGCATAATTAAAAAAAAAATCCTCCAACAAACAAAAGCCCAGGACTAGATGCCTTCACGGGTGAATTCTATCAAACATTTAGAGAAGAGCTAACATCCATCCTTCTCAAACTCTTCCAAAAAACTGCAGAGGAAGGAACCTCCCAAACTCATTCTGTGAGGCCACCGTCAATCACCCTGATACCAAAACCAAACAAAATTACTACAAAAAAAGAAAATTACAGACCAATATCACTGATGAATATAGATGCAAAAATCCTCAACACTAGCAAACAGAATGAAACAACGCATTAAAAGGATCATACCATGATCTAGAGGGAATTATCCCAAGGATGACAAGGAATTTTCAATACATGCAAATTAATCAATGTGATACACCATATTAACAAACTGAAGAATAAAAACCATATGATCATCTCAATAGATGCAGAAAAAGCTTTGACAAAATTCAACACCCATCTATGATAAAAACTCTCCAGAAAGCGGGCATAGAGGGAACTGACCTCAACATAATAAAGGCCATATATGACAAACCCACAGCAAACATCATTCGCAATGGTGAAAAACTGAAAGCATTTATTCTAAGATCAGGAAC